TTTCCACCCCCGTCATTCAAAAGAGCGTCAGTGGAGTCCCTTTAACATATCACACAGCCAATACGAGCAGATCAGGACCAGAGGGGAGCGGTGGCCTAGTGGTTAAGGTGTCTGCCTCTCAACCCAGAGATCATGGGTTCGAGCCCTACTCGGGTCACGACCATGTTTCTCCATATGACACCAGTACTGGTTGGTTCCAGGAAGCGGACTCGAAAGTGATTAATATAAGTTGCAAGAACTTGTTTCGCAATCGAGCTTAAATAAATATGTTTAAACCAAACCAGATCAGGACCAAAAGGAGTGAAACTTTACCAATATCATACAGAAAAGCATATACATGTATATACGAAAACGACGAATTTGATTCGCCGGGCCGACATGCTAGAATTTAAACCATCGTGAAAACACTTTTGAACATACATTTTCAAAGAAGAAAAAAATATTCTTGATATTTCTCAGCGATTTATACGTTAAGTAAATGAATTCTTCAGTGTTGTTGATGTTTTTTTTTTCCGAAAGAAATGAAAACCACTTTTTCGCGCAAAAAGAGAAGGAAAGACTATAATGAGTAAACTCAGTTATAAAAATATTTTCTTTCATAAATAAAATATGTGAATTTTTGAATTGTATGTGTGTCGAATACATGTAATTACATGTGTTATTCATATGAAAATCACTGAAAATACAACTTATCTATCTATAAAAAAAATATTTTATAGCTTTTTATTACGCATTATTACATTTAATAATGCTTATCATTTTGTTTTGCATGTGTGCGCATATGTAATGCATAGGCCCTGAAAGGAACATGTAAAGGACGTCAACAAAATTATAACGTTTTACTCATCCTTAATTTTATTTTAAAACGGTAATAGCAAAATATCTTACGCGTTGACCCTATATTTTTATTCCTTCATTATCTCTATACACGCTCGACCGTGTTGATTTTTTTATAACACAATCTTTATTGCGATATCGCGCGATATTTGCACCAGATATGGACGGAAAAATAACATAGAATCGCAGACTATTAAACAAATGTTACAAAGCCATAATTACAAAGACACATTATAAAATTAAAACGAAGGAAATCGGATACAAATTGATAAGAACAGGCCGGTTTACTGGGACAGAAAGACGCAATTTCGCCGCCACCGATAGAGGGCGCCTTAACGTCATAGTAATGCTGTTTATTTATAAAATAATGCTGTAGAAGTAAAGCACACATATCTACATGATTGTATACCAAAAGTCACCAAGATCTGAGATGTTGTCAAATTTCGGTCGGATTTGAGCGTGTAGTAAACATATATCATCGTCTTAAAATAAAAAAAGTTATTTTAAAACGCTTCAGAGTTCATTAACTTCGTTTTAAGGAATTATGGAACTAGATTTGGAACCGGAAGAGAGAGACGCACGTGCGGAGTTTGATGCTATTGAGCGGCAAAAACAGCGGAGGGATGCGGAACCGCTGCTATTGTGTAAACTGATAACACAATGGCCAGTTCGAGCTTTTGGTAAGTTGATATTTTCTGTACTCTGCGTAAATATTAACTCTTTTTGATATTATAAACTTGTTAAATATTTTTTTCCAAGGAAATGTATACATGTATCTTAATGCTGAAATGAGTTTTGGGTTTGATGTGCTCTGTGGAAAATGTAATTGGTTAAGAAAGTGGTTTGTAGAAATAAGTACATTTATGTTATTTCACGTACCTGGTAAAGTTCTGAGAAAACGCATTTGGAAAGGCATTTGTACAAATGTTCAATTTTACAGTTAACCAATATCCCATGCGGATGGTGGGAGTTAAAAATCAAAGCACAGAAGGCGCTGAATTTGTTTGGGTCTCAGAATGTCAGAAAGGTGAAGGTTGTGAGATTATAAACCAATTTGTTTTTGTAAAGTGCCACAAATGCTTTCCAGCGTTTTAATTGTAGTAAATTGGCTATAAGACTAATTGCATCACTGATATTCAATTCAATGTTCATTTGACTTAACAATTTGAAAAAAAAATGAGTTGCTTTAACTGGGATTTGAAGTCCAGACCTCTTGCTTCCTAAGCGAGCGCGCAAACCCCTCGGCCACGGTGAAGTTATATGTAAACGGCCTGAAGAAAACCATATTATTCTAAATTAGGGGTTGTAACCCTTATTATTTCGACGCTAACTGTTGTTTAACACAGATGTAAATAATCACTATAAGCATGTATATCTATAAAGAATAAAACAATATTAGGAAAATTCGACCATTTGGGAACTATTTTGCTTGAAAATTAATGCACCTCTCATTTGACCATCTTTACGCAGTGATCTCCCCTGAATATTTCGGCGTTAGTGTACATATAAAGGGAAGTAACCGCTTCAAAAAAAGCGGACTACTTTCGGCATTTGCAATTAACAGTACCAGGGTCTGAAATTTCGCTACCATTATTTGTTTGGTCTGACGACCCAAACAAATAAAAACCACAAACATGTACACATACAAAAAATAGAAGATTCGTGCTCGACCGTAGGTATTTATTTGCCTTGTAAAGCAGTGAATGTCAATTTTAATGCAACTTTCTAACGGCAGCTGACCTTTATTTAAATAACAATAGATTTAACACCAAACTTTGAAATAGGTTTATTGTTTTAACAAATAAGCTGTTGAGAAATTCTTATAGTAATCAACTAATCTGATGTTTAAATTAGACAGATTAGGGCCATTCAGGGACCTATGCATTTTCAAAATCTATTTTACACCCAAGACTGTGTCTTTTTTTTCTAAAACAAAATGAGTCTTAAACACTAAATTAAATTAGGAACATGCTGAATATGGATTACTCATGTCAAATTGCATTAATTCTCACAAAACATTTTAAAAGGTTCTTTATCTTTGTTTCTCAATTGTTTTCTTTCTTTCATTCTTGTTATATTTCTTTCTTTCTTGTTTTCTTTCTTTCATTTTTTCTTTCATTCTTTCTTTTGTACTTTCTTTCTTTCATAATTATTTGTTCGCTTTTGCAAACCTCATGTTCTAATATGTTATGTGAATATTGAACCTGAACATGATATTCGCATTAATTTTGGCTTTTTTCCTCTTGACTTACCTTTCAGATGACTTTCAGTACAATCAATTGATACATTTAACCGATTAAGATAGTATGTTACTCATAAATTGAAATGCTTAAGTGATCATATCTTAAAATCTAAAGAAAAAATGTTTATTGTTAAATTGCACTTGAAACATGCCGTGTGTGTTTTATGAATACTATTAGATAAAACATCTATATATAATAACTCTAAAATAAACTTTTATTTAAAGTCTTTTTTAAGTACGTAATGTCTTAACACTGCATGTGTTTTTTTACCATTACGAGTACACATACTACACGTACATGTATATATACAACATGTACATATATATACTACATGTAATTTGTACTAAGACTAAAGAAAACAGATCTTTTTATAATAGCATACAATGTTCAATAGGGAATACGTCAAATCAATTTTTTTTAATGCGTTTATTTAAGGTCGCCGCCGGAAAGCCCATATGGGCGACCGTACACTCAAGTCGAGTCATCGTCCCGCCGAGATTTTTCGTCGATTTTTTTTCCAGCTTTATTGGTGGAGGAAGACCCCAGGTGCCCCTCCGGGCATTATTTCAGGCACGAGCGGGCACCTGGGTAGAACCACCGACCTTCCGTAAGCCAGCTGGATGGCTTCCTCACATGAAAGATTTCGACCCGAGTGAGGATCGAACCTACAGTGGTGAGGGACCTGTGATCTCAAGTCAACGACTTTAACCACTCGGCCACGGAGGCCCCCCGTCAAATCAAGACTGTGTCCACTGGACAATAGCTTGTTAAAATGATACGAATCTGCGCACACAGGGACACCATACCCATGTAAAGCTAGAAAATCGCCATATGACCTTTTTGCGCGTGACTTTAAATCCATTAAGGTTTGGTTTTTTTGGTTACGTAAATTGTTTCACATAAAATTACAATATTAAAGAGTTTGACTTGTTTTCCGTCAAAGTTCAAACTGTTTTGGAGTTATTTTTTATTCAGTATCATTAGTTTTCGGAACGTGTGGACATTGACGCTAAACAGAATGTTTTATTACCCCTCACTTTTTTCGTAATGTTAATTTCCCATAGGCCTCTGGGAGTTATTCTTACTGTTAATGCAAGTGTACCACGTGACTACGAATTTTGTACTGTTACATAGGTAACAGTATTTTTTAACAGTATAAACTCTGGTCACGTGGTCTATTTTCTAAATAAAATTAAATAAAATGGCCGCCATTTTTTTCTCGATTCATTCTTATTTTCGACGATAGGGCATCGCCGAAGTAACTATTACTCTGATAAAATTTAGTTCTTTGCACCCTAGAGTCCCTTTCGCGTATTAAATATCTTTTTGTTGAATAGTCAACAGGAAACATCCGTTTTCAACGGAAGTAATTGTAATCATAGGCACTCGGTTCCAAAACCTTTTATGATTTTGATTTATTTAAAAAAAAATATCATGTATATAAAATACTACAAGGTTTCGCAGCCACCATGTTTCAACGCAACGGAAGTACGTTGACTGGTGTACAATTTTCATTAAAAAACACTAGTTCCCGATTCGATGAATAGAGACTATTGGCTAATACGGGTACCACAATTATTGACTATTACGCCGTGGTACCCACATCAACAATATGCTTTAATTGGTGACTCGGGAGCCAGTATTTTTTTTTTAAATTGTACACCAGTCAACGCACTTCCGTTGCGTTAAAACATGGCGGCTGCGAAACCTTGTATATTTTTATTTATACATGATATGATTTTTTTTTAAATAAATCAAAATCATAAAAGGTTTTGGAACCGAGTGCCTATGATTGTAATGTAAATAATTTTGTGTCAAACTGGAACATGCAGACAATTAAAACATGCAACAAAGGATAATTTAACAATTTTAACCAGTGAAACGTTACAGATACAGTAGAGTTGGTGGACAGACAATTGAAGGATATCATCGTGATTTTCTAAATGCACTTTGTCAAAAACCATGCGAAGAATATTCTGGATGCAGAAGGATCAGATTTCACAGATCATAACCTTATAAATGGGTTAGTGTTTTGTTTTCTGAATAAAACACAGCTTATTTTATGTTTATGACTGGTAGATATCATCACTTGCCTAATGCCCCGGTCACATATACACGGATAATGTCACGGAAGAGCTACGGTCTAATCGTTCACGGATTACTACGGAAATGTGAACTTTCGTAGTCCGCTACGGTTCTAGTACGGACACACAACGGTATGAGTACGGAGTTCGACGGATTTACCACCAAAAGCCCCCGGAGAGACACGGATTATTACGGACCGACACGGTTTGATACGGAGCGACACGAATCAGGACGGACGCACTACGGATACACTACGGTCTGCTACGGTATAAGCACGGGTTAGTACGAATAAGTACGGTCTGATACGGAGAAGAACGTATTGATACGGAGAAGAACGAATTGCCACGGATCTATACGGACCTAATACATCCGTCCACAACCTCTTGCTTGCTCATTTTCAAAATGCCTAAAAAGAAAAGAACACCTAGAAAACGAATTGTAGAGTTCAATGATTTTGGCGGAGAGGACTCGGCCTAATCGCGTCCGACCCCCGAGACACATCAGGTCCGATTAAAGTGAATTTCTTGAAGGACGCTGGGTCCTCAACAAATTCGGCCATGAGAGCCTCATACTAAACATGAAGCGGTCTTCGTAAAAGTCCATCTCTAGTCTACCATCTCTTCTGTCTTCTCTTACCTGATTAGATATGGACTAGTAATCATAAATGAAAAATGTTGATCAATACTGCTTCTCTTTTAATTTTAAGATTTGCTGTTCATCTTACAATTACATTAATTATCGTGATGTTTATGTTTTAAAAATATGTAAAAAGCTTGTTAATTAATCTTATTATCACTCAAGGGCCAGCGTCCGAGGCATATGAGACACTTCGTTTTATGTAAATATTTACTCCAATTTCACGATCCAATGTTTGTAAAATATGTAACATTAAATGTTATTCTATAACTTATGAATTGTAGTACGATATTAATATAAATTTACTTCTATGCATGTCATCAAGTCCGCATTCTGAGCCATTTCAATATACAGTTGCAGCCAGTAAATATCAATTATCATTTATTAAATGTATCCGCAAATATGTCTGTTTTTAACAAGAAGGTAGTATTTATACCCTTGAAAAAGTACACGATACTTAATTCATCCGTACTAAACAGTGGTGGACCGTACCATTCCCTACCGTTTCGTGTTGCAACGCAATAAACCGTATAAGACCGTGCTAATCCTTGCCTCTCCGTAGTATAACGTATTACGATCGTGGCTTTCCGTGACAATGCCGTATGAGTCCGTATTAAGACCGTAGCTTATACGTAGGGTAACCGTACAAATACGTAGTTCTCCGTACCAAACCGTGGAAATCCTTGACAAGTTGGTGGACTACGAATCAGTACGGACTAGCACGGTTTTCGTACGGACCAGTACGTATCAGTACGTTTTAATACGGACTAGTAGGGATACGCTACGGTTGATTTTTCCGTAGCAAATTTTTGTGCATGTTCAAAAATTGTCAAGGATCGCTACGGATATACAAGGACTACTACGATTGATTACGGTTACAATACGGAGAGCTACTGACCAGTACGGGTAGCTACGGACGATGCCGGAATTAATCCGTGGCTCTTCCGTGGGCGTATTCCGTGAATATGTGACCGGGGTATTAGGAATAAAAGAAAAACAGCTTCTCATGTAGGCCTACAGTGCACTTGAAACTTGCAAGGTAAGGACAGTTTAGTTATTGCTTCTCTTGGCTCATTTTTGTTACAGTTAGATTTAGTTGACAAATTCAGATTATCACAGTATTTGTTCGGCTACGCCTCGGGTAACAGTATTTTCCTCGGGATGATATTTTTACTGTTACCCACAAACCCATGTGTTATTTATATATTAATCACTATCTCCGATGTCAATGTCTTTTCTGACGTGTTAAATATCCCGACAACTACATTTATATATTTATAATAACATTTATATTCCTATAATTACAGCCAAAGTAGGTCACTGTACAGCGGTCAATGAGAACCTAAATGTACAGATTTTTAGCCCACAAATATCACAAAATGTCACGTGAAATACATAATGTAGGTACCGGGGTAGTATCAGTGTGAGCCAATACCCAAACTAACTACATATTTCATATACAAAATAAAACAGTCATTCAATTTTCTGTTATTTTCAGTACTGACCTTGTCAGGACATATTGCTATGATCGCAACTACAGGGATCTTATATCTATCCGGATATGACATCATGCCCTTGTGTTTGGACGACGTCCCTATGCGGCTAGTAGATGAACCCTGGGACGCTCGATGGTTCGCTTGGACTGATCGGACAAAGTATGACGGTTATTATACTCGGGGCGGTACCAATGCTGGGTTTCGAACTTCTGAAGCTTGGTATGCTTCCATGGACATGTTTTACGAAGACGTTGATGGTGATAATATTTTCACGAAACGGTCGCTTTTGAAATGAAGAAAATTGAAGACGATTTAATGAACGCAGATGACTACACAAAATTTTGTAAACTCGATCATCAGACCCGACAGTGTGTTAAACCTCAGTCCGTGCTAAGATATTTTGACGGAACGTTTGTAGATATAGACCCTGTATTCAATGATACAGCATTTGAAAATGTTGATAATGTTCTGTATATGGCCGCAACACACAACGCAACAAGGGATGGTTTTAGATTTTTTCTTGCAATTAAGCACGAGACTACACAGAATACAGTGACGTCAAAGATGACGCGTTCTATCGTCTCATTTGGGTTACCACACGAAGAGTACGGCTCCAGTGACTACGAAATGGAAGCCGAAAAGTTTTCCGGCGACAAATTGAAACCAATTCTTGAGAAATATGAAGATACGTCTGAATTTAAGTTTTCATATCGGTCCGAGGCTATTTGGATGTACAGCGCAAGAAACCAAGCCATGGAAGACGTGCTCTGGGCGGGGGCAAGCATGGCGTTCATATTTCTTGTAATTCTGTTGCACACGAGGTCGCTTTGGATAGCTGGATTTGCAATTTTAAGCATTTTTGCAAGTTTCTTTACCGGAAACTTGATTTATAATTTAGTATGTCGTTTCGATTACATTGGATATTTCCACATCCTGTCACTTTTTGTCATTCTAGGAATTGGAGCAGACGATGTGTTTGTGTTTTACGATATTTGGCGGAATTCCGCATGTGACGAGTATCTGTCAGTTGCTCACAGGTTATCAGATTGTTATAAGAGATCAGCTTTTAGTATGCTTATCACCTCACTTACAAATGCCGTTGCGTTCTTATCAACTGCAATATCACCTTTACTTGGGACAAGGTCATTTGGTGTATTTTCAGCTTTATTAATTGTCGTAAACTACCTCTCAGTCATACTTTACTTTCCGACAGTTGTTATCATGTATCATACTTATTTTGAAAAAGCAACATGGCCGTGCTGTTATCCGTGGCAGAAGGGTTCCGATCATGAATCCGCAGACGATAAAAACGACAAGAAGGAACGCGCTAAACATTATAGTAAACCGGATGTTGAAAGTGAAAAGCATGAAGATGAAATATTTGCTTCAAGAGTGAATCCAGTATATGAACCGGATGTACCTGTAAATCAAAACTACCATTGGTCGAGAAGTTTTGACGATAACCAAATACCGCCTAAACATCGATCGGGACAAGAAAATGGTTATCAGTCATATCTAAGAAACGGTGATTGGCGAATAACAGGTAGTTATCGGCTTTATTCACCAGGTCATACGCAACAACCAAAAAGAAACCGGCAAGCGTCAAATGATCGAAAACAAAACGGCGTGATGGTAAATAAGATTCAAAATCACGTGTCATATCTTGACAGTAAATCGAAAAGTTTATCTAAAAAGCGGAAAAAGAAGTCGATATTTGTTCGTTTCTTTCGGAATTATTATTTCCGATTTGTGACACACAAGGTTATAAGATGGTTGATTATTCTTGTACTGGCAGGAGTTTTGGCTTTCTTCATCTACCAGGCTTCACAAATCGAGCCCGATAATAAGCTGGTAAGTGCGTGCATATTCAGTATCTAGAGTCATTTTCATGGTGCAACTCTTAGTTCGATTGAGTTATAAACGTTTTAAAAACGCTTTTCATTTTAGGATTTGTGGACGTGTTTTTAGGCAGAATGTTTATTCAAAATGATCTGAAATTTTGCACAGAAGGTTTTGTATCTACATCAAGTAATATAAAGAATATCGAAAAAATAAATTCCAGATCCGTTATGTAAAAAAAACACCCTCAGTCGAGTCCATCTAATAATGAGTCTTAATGAGGTTCTAAAGTTTATTTCCGTTTGAGACTTTGAGGCGTGGTTGTAACATAACATAATTTTAAAGCGGCCTTCAGTTTTTCTAAAGGTTAAAATATGTAATATCGTAGAACAGAATTAAGGTGTAAAGTGAATTTTGCCGACGATAAAATACATATACAATAAAGAAATCCCTCGTTACCTCTTAAGAATAGCGGACAATTCGTTCCCAAATTTTCTATTTTTAGAAATGCGATATAAAGAATTCTCAGGACTCTGTTTTGAAGAAGACTTATCACAAATAGATGCACTTTTTTTCAAAATAAAATTACTGAAAACTTAGTTTGAAACAACACATAATTGTTTTTTCGAAAAAAAAAAAAACAACAGAAAATGAAAGCTGAATGCCCATTTAATGATGTACATGTACACACACATATAAGGCGTATCGAAATTGATTTATAGATATTTTTTTAGTTTAATATACTACCAGACGAACATCCGCACAGGAAGGCCTACTCGCATAAATTATATTCATTTTTGTCCTCACTTGGGGAAGGAACTGGTTTGATGTCCGTTCATCTGTTGCTGGGAGTTAAACAAAACGACCTCTCTATCTGCCACTTTTCAGATCCCGTGTGTACGGGAAAACAAGAATGGGACCCGGACTTCAACCCAAACTCAGAGGAGGCGCAATTGGCACTGATGGTATATTTGTTTTGCAATTATTAGTTTCTTACTATGGGTTGAAGAGATGTCTTTCGTTCATATTTAGTTTATACAAGTGTATTTTAGCTCGATTGTGTTGGAAGCTTTAAGTTAATTAAAACACTCTCGAATCCGTTCCTTGAACCAACCAGTACTTAGCGATGAGTATTAAGTTTATTGCTTTTGTTTAGGGAAACAACGGGGTCAGCAAACCTCAGGGGTTAACCACCCGGCCATGTCGCCACACATGATGTTTCTGTCCAAGATAATGATAATAATGGGCTAAACTTATCTAAACATTTTACAGAATCCATAGTTCCTAGGTAGACATGTATACAAATACAAAGTTATTTTTACAATTCTGTCAACATATGAAAATATGATAATATATATAATTTTTAAACCAAAATAAACACGACCGGATAGAACGCTAATTTTCATGAAAAAAAATTAAAATGTATGTAAAAGTATAACTTTAAAGTTGTGAGTGAACCAAAAAGTAATTTTACACTTGGCAAAAGGCACTTACAATTCAATCAATTTACCTGAGAGATGTCAAAATATACAAAAATAGCCCTTACTCTGTTCGTCACTCCGTAGTAGAAAATTGTGATTAATACTGCAAAATCTGTCATTAATTGCACACAACATGCAAATCATTACTTTAGTCTTTTGACATTTCTAAATATCATAGTACATTTTTCACAAGTTTGATTTTCTTGAAACTTTTTGGCTCATCTGGAGACGGGCAGCTTTAACGTTTTTAAACAGAGCTTTTCTCACCGAGATTATATAGGGGGCTTATCAGTTTAGTGAGGAAGAGCGGTACATAGGTAGAATACAGAACCCCTATTTCGGAAGGGCTTATTTCTAAAAATAAATACATATATCTCACCCTTAGGTGATTATGCTCTATAGACTACCCTATTTCTATTTGACTAGTGTAAGTATAGGTTATAGGTTATATACAGAGTTTTAAGAAATTAATTTTCGAGTGAACGAAGTGAAGCGAGAAAATAAGTTATATAACCTATAACCGACTTACAGTTATAGCCCCGTCTATCACACCGAGTGCACTATGTAAATAGGCGGAGTCCATTAAATCGGCTCATTTAACGTATTTAATACATACAGTTGAGTTACTATGGTGGCATATTTCTGCCACCAGATAACCATATAACTAACTAGTTAATTAAGAGGTTAACTAGTTAAGCACTGTATGGAAAATACTTCGGCAAAATTTAAACAAAATAGAGCGATTTCATTGGTAGACAAACTTGGGCGAACTGTAAATTTACTTCAATGAAAATTGAGTAAAATTAATTATTAATAAAATGAATGAATGAATAACATATTCTTTGTACAATATAAGGCAAGGTTAAGTTTCATTTGCTTTGCATTTGGTACTCACATGTCGTTCAAGTTTTAGATATTTAGGTTAAAACCCATTTACCAAATGGTTGTTATAATATATAGCGTTCCATCGGTTTATGTACATCAATCTTAATCTTTTTGAAAATACATGTAGAGTTTTTTCAATTTATTGCATGCAGATTTTTTTTCTTTTTTTTCATTCTTTTCAATTAAAGGAAAACTTTTATACAACCCTAATGTTGTTATATTTTTCTGATCCCATCACGCGCTCATTGATAACAATATGAGTGTGCGTTATTATTGCAGGGCTTATGTGAGAAACTTTTATTATTGCAGGGCTTTGTGATATTGCAAGAGTTTTGTAAGAAACTTAAATTATTGCATGGATTATATGAGAAACTGTCATTATTGCAGGGCTTGTGTGAGAAACTTTAATTATTGCAGGGCTTATGTAAGAAGCTTTAATTATTGCAGAGTTTACGTGAAAATCTTTTGTTATTGCAGGGCTTATGTGAGAAACTACGAACTTTACCTGAAGCGGAGGCCAAAGAATTACACATAAAGAAAAATCCCAACACGGGAGAATACAACATAAAATGTTTCATGGACAATCTGCAAACATTTCTGCAGGTCGTATAAATAATTTATTATCACTTTAGATCATTTTTTGTACAAAACTCATTGTAAAATATGACTTTGATGAAAAATTATTGACCTTGTTTATACGGCAATTTCATAGAAATTTGTGAAATGTTTTGCGCTACCTTGGGTTGAAAAGCTTTCGGAATGCCTCGCTGACTTTTCATATCCGACGGTTGACGGGATTGACCGAGAAGTTGCGAATGGTAAAAAAATGTAATAATATTAACTTTGATTGTTAGCGAAGCGTGTTGTAAAAAGGTCTATGTATAAAATATATAGCTTGTGCAATTTGTTTTCACAAGCGTACGCAATTCATGGAGTTCTTGTGTGTATATTTATATAATATGCCAAATAGATTTAAAAAAAAAAAAAAAAAAAAAAAACAGATTTTCTTCCTTTTGTCATTTTAGCTATATTTACAGTATAACGTTTTCATTTTTTTAGTTTCATATTTATGATCTTGAACTTAAAATAAAAAAAGAAGACATTTCAAAATTGTGTCTACCTTTTCATCATTGCGTGTTAGCTTTTTATTATACGATTGAGACAAATCGCAAACATTACAAATTGATAATTAATTTGATTATATTTAAACAGTTACAGACAAAACATTGTTCTAATATTTATAAGACTATAAATAATACGCTCGTGATAATTCGACATTTTTCGTCAATATCCGTCATTAATTGATATTAAATGAGCGTCTGGATGACTAGATCAAAATATCGCCTGCGATTGAGCCGCTTTTCAAAGTATTTTCAAGTACGCAAACAAAAGCGAAATTCATCGGATTTTTCCGAAACCTAGATTGTAAAATAAAGCTTAAATTTCAAATTAACTCACTGGACTTCAGGGTTACTTCGCCATTATTACATTTCTTAATAAATATACATGTATATCACAAACACTTATTTATAAATAAATGAAAAAAAAAAATTATGCAGGTAGAGTCCAAACGGGATGGTAAAAATTGGAGTTTACCTTTCACCAAGGAGCGGGTGGACAGCTTTATTGCAGACAAACCCCAGTTTTACAACAGCAGTGTGTTCACAGCAGAGTTCAACAATAATCTGGAAGTATGTGATTCCTTACTTCGTGATTTCTCAAATCATTTGACATAAACCTGTGCTCTATTTATGTGCTCTAAAATCTTAAAACATTTAAAAGGAGGGACTCACTTTTCAGCCCTTTCTTCCAAAAGTACGTTTTGCATAACGATTGAATTTGCTGTGTTAAGTAACTTGTTATTTTCTTAAAATATTAATTGTTATTGAGAAATAATTTTCAGTAATGTTGCTGCTGAATTACTCTTTATTGGTATTACTTATGCCTATCTGGGTCCGATTCCCCTAAAAGGACGAATGTACTTTTATCAAACATGAACGAAAGATCTGCTTTTTTGCCATACACAGTTGCTAGGTGGATACTTATGAACTGGCAAAACACTCTACGTATGAACTGTACATATAACGCTAGGTGATGAAAATGAAGATTATTCTTAATGATGCCTCTCGACTTTATTATGGCAAAATAATAAAAAAAATCAGATTTCTACGATTATATTTCAGGTTGCAATATCGTACTGGCTAACAAATAAATATACAAATGAATATACTAGTGACTTCTACAAGTTCGATCAGCTGATTGGAGAAAAAACTGGCCCCTTTAGTTCACCTGTCATCAATAAAACAGGTATTTATTATAAAATGTATATATGATATATACGAAAATACCATTTAAAACTCGGTTCTTTTATCACACTTTACTGTCTGTTACATGGAAAATGTATGGATCATTTAGTTTTAAAGGCAAGTGCTAGTTCAGTCTGTCTACACGACTCCTATGTTTTACACCATAACTTTCATTTCTTAACTCCCTCTTGTGTAAAAAGAATCCTGAATCGTTTGAATTTAAAATACACACATGATAAATTGACAATTGATTTTATGATGATAAATATATGGTAATAAAGTCGATCCTTCAGTAGTTTTGGGTTTTGTATATCTATTATGCACACGTTTGTCAAGATGATTAAAACTATAAATTTTAAGATATGCCTACTTAAGACAGAAATACATGCATTTTAAAATTGATCAGTATATATCTATGTATGCACACATTTCATGTACATGTATAATGGAATATCTTTAGATATATTGTTGTGTTACCAAAGTACTAAAAGTAAAAATAAAATATATTATTAATTTTTTTCTCTATATATCAATGCTCTATTTATTGACGATTCACAAAATACAGAAGTCAAATAAATTGAAATGGGAGATAACTGCACCGAAAATCTTAAAACTTCTCTCAGCGGTAACTTCCCTTGTACAAATGGCGTAAATTAAGGGGACGTCACTGTGGAGGATATTGTATATTCTAAAATTTTCTTAATTTTCTAGATATGATGTACGGAAATGATTTGAAGTTTCTTGCAATATCCGTTGGTACTGATATACAGGCGATGTTGCTGGGTTATAGAGAAGGTGACCCGATAATGGAAAGTTGGGAACAATTTCTCAATAAACAGGTATTTATTTTTCCTGTGAAATTTTGGGTTACTTTCTTTTCTTTTCCATCTGGGACAAAAAATAAATATTTTTGGTCCAAGTTTCAATAGATAATCAGCTAAGATTATACTACAGAAATTTATGGACGAATAATGATGACTCTTCTTCACTGTTTCCAGAACACTTAGCTGAATCCTTACTTTTCGTCTGCTTCCACCCCCACTCCGGCCCACCTCACTTCCGGGTCAGTGCGTTGTTATTCTGGCGCCAATTTACATGTAGCAAGGGATATGCCCAGTTATAAGCGCTTTAACATGTTTTTTATGTGTCTAATTTCTCAAAAGAGAGGGGTGAGTTGTAATTTTGGTGCATTTGATTATTGGATAACGTTTAATGGAAAAGAGCGATAAAAATACATTCTACGCTCGTACATTACGGTTTTATTTTACATGTGATAATAGTATACTTTTTGTAATTAAAGCTCAACAATATGCCGAAAGGATTGAAAATTGGATTTCAAACTTCATCGCATGAACGTTGGATCTGGATTACAAGACAAAGGGTAATTTTTTTCACTACAGATTTATTATTTTCGAAGAGTAAAAGAAAATTGGTTTTCTGGGAATGTTTCAGTTTAAGTCTGATTAAGCGCCATCTGCTGTGAAGTATTCTTCTCTCAGTTATCGTCCGTCTGCATGCGCATCATATATCAATAATTGCAATGGATTTTTGCATTCGTAAACTTTTACAAAATCTCGTATTAGAAATAATTTTCAAATCATAAATCAATATAAACTGAACAATAGTAAAAGAGTAAAACCATTGGATGTACGAGGTGTGTTCTTGAAGTTCTTTGAGAAGAAATGAAAACACACAAGTTTTCGGTTTATATATCGTATACCGTGCACATAATTGGTTCGGGCGCTGATTATTGTTTGGCTCAAGCTGATTCATGCGCATGTCCAGTTTCGGTAATAATTGCCAGAGGGACCGCGTTAAGGGTGAGAGCACGACGAGAGTGAGGTCACTATATAGTCTAACCATCTTAAGTTTTCTCGTTGTCTGACCTAACTACTATGACCATAGTAGCTCTCGGACCCTCCAACACCGATACATATGTAAAATATATCGAAGAGCTGGCCCGATAGGGCTTGCTCGCACAGCGAGCTTTACGGTAACGCGAGTACCTGCTAAATAGTGATGGTTCGGAAGTACTAAATTGACACATCGCAACTTTTCGAATTACAGGATAATGATAAAAGCCAAAGAATTCTGATTGAATACGGATGCGTACCCTGGTGTCCTGCGCATTTTTATAGGAACCATAATAGGACAGGGAACCAGAATAAACGGAAGCAGTGCATAAATACCGAATGACACTTTTAAAACGGAAAATGTAGAATAAAAATGAACGATATATTTAAATCGTTAGGATTTGCCTAATTTCACATTACCCGAACTATACTCTGATTCCCTGTCCTATTATGGTTCTCATCTGTGTTCTTTGACGAGTGGATTCAATTTTGATATCATATAAAACATAAAATTGCCGTATATAGTGTGTGGTTGTGTTGAGTGTGGCAGTTCTATGTGTATTAAAAACTAAAAATGTGTAGCCGCCAATAGGTTTAGATTATAATGTACTATTATTTCTGTAAAAGAGCTCGCTTTGAGGCTTTGCCTTATTCACATGAATCCACATACATAAAACTTTATTAAAATTACAATATAGTAAATGAGAACACTATTACCAAAATACCCTCCCAGCAATCAACACACTTCCGGTGTATATTTCAGTTGCTCGTGGATAATGCCATCTACGGTATCGTGATAGGATTGTGTCTGGCGTGTCCAATTCTGATAATTGCCACCGGAAACGTGATAACCGGACTACTTGCCACATTTTCTCTGTGTTGTACAACAGTGTGCGTCATAGGTGTCATTGTGCTAGGAGGCTGGAAATTGGGGGTAAGTCATCTGAAAATTATCATTAAATACTAGAACTGTATGGTAAACAAGTGTTTAGTTGAGTTCACCAAGTGTTCGGTGCATTATTTGTCTATTTAAAGTTGTACGCCTTCCATATTATATATTAATCATATTTCGGAAACAAATTACGAACACTAATATTTTCATTTAGCTTTTTTTTTCTAGCGTATGAATTTAGAACTTCATTCATAACGGAATAATTGTGCAAAATTGTGTGATGCATATATTATATTTACAGATGATAGAGGCCATGAACATGTGTATGGTCGTAGGTTTATCAGTGGACTATGTTGTTCATCTCGCGGAAGGATACACACTCTCGCTACATACCGGTCGTCTGTCACGTGTCCGAGACATGTTGGATTTAATGGGCGTATCAGTATTCTTTGGGGCGTGTACGACTTTAGGTGCTTCGCTTTTCATGTTTTTCACAGTTCTTTCGTTCTTTTCACAATTCGGAACATTCCTGTTTTCAACAATCGGATTTTCATTAGTGTTTTCAATGGGTCTTTTTGTAACACTTCTTGGTATAATTGGACCGGAAGGAAACACCGGAAATGTGCTGGCGTTCTTTAGACGGGTTTGTGGTGAGAGAAGTCGGCGCCGAAAGAGCAGACGAGACGCCAGGCAAAATAAATAAACACAAATTAAGCATTATATTTCATATAATTTTATGATTATATAAGAATACAGACATATGTCCCTTGCGTTGTGAGACATGCAGACACGGACTTTGAATGAAGCTATCCAGATAGCTTACAGTACAAAACGTTGTTCTCAGGTGCTCGTCCGTGCACGTACAGGCACCTGAGATCTTCCTCCTCCGGTAAAACTGGAAAGTCGCCACATGACCTCTACTGTGTTCTTGCGACGCAAAAACCCAACCAAACAATATACACGAATATATCAGTGTGGTATCCATGAAATTATCTTGCCCATTTAGCGACAATCTCGGTATTCATATACACATGCATCTTGTCCAAATAGCGACAATCGTATATTTTATACATTTTTAAATTAATTTAGCTTTCAAAGAGCGTTCCATATTGTTTTCATAGTGCTGTTCAGTTTATAACACCTAAATTAAAAGATGATGAAAATACATGTATATTAATTGATTTTTATCTTAATAAAAAAAAGAAATTGTGTTCAATTATAATTTCGTCTTACGGATTGTGACATATATGTATTATACGTTCTTGTGTAAACGACTTTTTGCTAGCAATACGGGTTATATACACCGGTTAGTTTTCATCTGTTTATTCTGGGTCATATAATTCGTTAAAATGGTTATATAAACACACGTTCGTGGTTTATTATTCGATTTCTAAACACAAACATTACGTTTTTTATTTATCAGTTGATGCTTTTATACAAATATTTATCAATATGGTTTATATATACATAAAAAATACATGTACGTATGTTCATTATATTGTTATTTGATAGTACATGTAATCTGTTGTGCAATATTTGGTACCTCTCTGATCATTTATACAATGACACCCTCATTGGCTAATATTCGATATATAACCATTATGACACCTACTACATTTGGTGTTTTTACACTCTTTACAGATATTTTGATCCCATGAAAAACTTGTTAAGGTGGTTCTGCTTCGTCAGCCATGTTTGTTTTCACAAAGTCTATCCAAAGTGAAAGTAGGCCAAAATTCATATAACAACAAAGCTCACATTGTTATATGATGAGCCATTTGCAAGTACACTTCTAGTTCTATATTTTAAAGACTATTTTAAACAAAAATAAAAATGATAACAATGAGAATATTTACCTTGAATGGGCCAGATTTCTGAAGACCAAAAACATTCTGTTGCAAAGTTTTATGCACATTTCATGAATGGCAAAATCCTTTTTAAAGTCTGTTTTAGTGCCTACAAAAGCTATTTTTACAGAAAATACAAAAAACTTTTAAAATCATAAATCTTAGGAAAGTACGGTAGTTTATCTGACCTTGAAAAAACATGGCCACCATGACATGTGTAAAAAAGTAGTACCATGAAAATAAACATCATTTACCTATTTTTTGTGTACATGACAAACAGACACACTTCACTGTTACACATAAAAAGGTTAGATTTTAAAGTTTGATTGTGTTTTCATTTTAATTGTAGTTCATAAGACTATAAATGATGATTGTTTTCTTGCACTACTTTTTTACAAAAAATAATGGAGACCATGTGCTTAGAAGGACATGAGATACGGATTTATTTGGAGTTTAGTTTTTAAAGAATTTTGTATTTGCTGCAAAAAATTGCTTTTGTAGGCACTAAAACAGACTTTAAAAAGGATTTTGCCATTCATGAAATGCGCATAAAATTTTGCAAAAGAATGTTTTTGGTCTTCAGAAATTTAGCCCATTCAAGATATTAAATATTCTTATTGTTATCATTTTTATTTTTGTTTATAATTGTCCTTAAAATATTAACCTGGAAGTGTACTTTCAAATGGTTCATCATTTAACAATAAGAGTTTTGTTGTTATATGAATTTTGGCCTACTTTCACTTTGGACAGACTTTAGTGAAAACAAACATGGCTGACAAAGCGGAATCATCTTAACAATTTGTTATGGTTGTGTGCATAAACTTGAAATTAAATGTTTATTTATAAAACATATAGAGTTAATTTTATAGTTTGTCATAACCAATATGTAAATGAATTTCGTTTTGATATAGTAATTTGAGGAGGGCTTTAGCTTTCAAAAAAAAGTTGTTTTGTTGTTGTTTTTGTGCCTTTTTTGCTCACTTTTTTACAAAGGATCAAGAGTGAGCATTCATGCTGGCAAGTTGTCGGAAGCCGTCCGTCGTAATTGACAATTTCTTCAATCAGATTGTCCCCGGCTATAAATCATAATTCTTATCAAGGGCAATTTCATTATACATCATCTCCTCATGCTGGATTTTGACCAAACTTCACAGAATACCTGGTACGTCATTTGGCATATAGCATTAACTAGTTGACGACTACGAAACTTAAACAAATCATGCTCTTCCTCAAAAATGGCCTCGCTGTTTGGGGTAAGGGGTCACTAACCTTACACATACTTACATATCTAGAAAAATCGTCTCCGCCATCGAAACTTCAATGGACTGATCGTTGATATTTGACCTGTTGCGTCACAACATCGATCTCAACAAAATTTAAGGTGTAGTTACTTTGATATACATACTTTATAAGAAATACAGTTTAGTCTTCCGTGTAACTTCAATACCCGGATCGTTGATATTTGGTTTGCAGCATCACAATATCGGTCTCAACAAAATTTATAAAAAAAATTTATTTGAGATAAAATTGGCCCCACCCAAGGTGTCTTTATATAATCCTTATAGGAATACATATTTTAAAGTGACATTATGCTTATCCAAGGGTAAAAATGAGTGAACATGTGAGACAAAATAAATTTTCATTTTGCCATATTTCCTTTTAGTATAAATATTTATTTCACATAAACAAAACAACGCATGTATCCAAACGAATTTTTTGTAAATACCCATTAGAATTTACCTTTAACATTCAGTTCATAAAAAGAGCGAGGCAGTCTTTTTACATATTAGGAAGATCTAAATTGTATTCTAAACATTTTTCAATATGAACTGTTGGTCAATCACCATTTTAACAGTCAATCTTTTGAAATATATAGTCAGTTCAGCTGAAATTGACTATAAAAATATGTGCATAATGTCAATTTAATCTTCTGTGAAACTTTGTGGCTCAGTCCGACAGAGTTTATAATTAGGACATTGCCAAGTGGACGTGTAAAAAAATCATAAAAATCATAAATCTGGATTCAAAATTGGCCCCCACACACCTCCACACTGTGGTCACTTAGAATACATAGACCTAGTATGGTGTCCATTAAAAAAACATCGCATGCCTTATCAAAATTATTAACAGAATAGATTTTTAAATTACACATTGACAAATACAATTATAACCAAAGTTGAATTATTTCCAACATGTATACCTTGTTTATAAAACACATATTAACACAATGTAAGTATATAAACAATGCATGGTTAACAATTATATCTATGAATTAAAAATTATTTAGGTGGGCCTTTACCCCGTATACAACTTCCTTATTTACGTACATGTTTAGGATTTGTGAAAAAAGTACGACCGGAGCATTAAATAGTTCAAGGTCCTTATCCGGAGATTGGCGGAAAGGACCGGAAAATTACGACTGTCCTGTCCATGGGATTTTTAATTATTTTGAATTTATCGCAACCTGAATTTGTATATGCTCTATTTATGTGTGTAGGATAAATTGGTTTTAATATTTTTTTTTATTAAATTTATTAATTAATTAATTAATTAATTTATTTATTTATTTATTTATTTATTTATTTACATCGCCAAGAGGGACGGAGTATATAAAGCTGTAGTTGAAGTACAATTGTTTTTGATGTTCACTTATCGAGTTAAGAATTATATTTGTCATTTGGATTAAGTTTATCTTTCCGGTCTTATGACAGTCATTAAATGTTCAGTCATCAGAAATACATTTATTTCAATTTGTCAATAACATTATTAATTTTGCTGTTTTGTATTATTTTCCAAAAAGTAATTTATTATCTAAACCATTTTTGCTTTTTTTGAAATTAGTAATAATATAGTGACTAAGTTTTTGTATGAACTCAAAATTCTTCTTTGCTTATAGTTTGCTACTTTATAACAAATAATTTTACATTTAAAGATATTTTCTTCAAGTGATGAACATATAAATGCTCTAAATCCGTTATATATAAATATTGTAAAACTAATGCTGCCTTAAATAAAGAATGAAAATCATTTCTCAGACAAGATGTGCCTTTAAGTGAAAAATAAGTTTAATTAATATAAGTATATTTTGCCTGAGTGATTTATTTTCCGTAAATCACCAATTACAACTTATCGACCCTTTCCTTCAAACTAGGTTAGAATAACGCAGTGAGTGAGTAAATTTTCATCTGGGTGATATTAGTAGTCTGTAATATTAGGTATGACTATTATGTCGTGGGCAATGTTCTTAAAGGGGTGATATGAGTAGAATGCAACGAGTTATGTTCCTAGTGGCGTGACATGAGTAGTATGCAATGAGTAATGTTTCTAGTGGCGTGACATAACTCATTGCAATGAGTAATGTTCCTAGTGGCGTGACATGAGTAGTATGCAATGAGTAATGTTTCTAGTGGTGTGACATGAGTAGTATGCAATGAGTAATGTGCCTAGTGGCGTGACATGAGTAGTATGCAATGAGTAATGTTTCTAGTGGCGTGACATGAGTAGTATGCAATGAGTAATGTTCCTAGTGGCGTGACATGAGTAGTATGTAATGAGTAATGTTTCTAGTGGTGTGACATGAGTAGAATGCAATGAGTAATGTTCCTAGTGGCGTGACATGAGTATTATGCAATGAGTAATGTTCCTAGTGGCGTGACATGAGTAGTATGCAATGAGTAATGTTCCTAGTGGCGTGACATGAGTAGTTAAAATGAATAATGCTTCAAGTGAGTCAGACGTGAAATGAGTTGTATTGAATGAGTAAAGCTCTTAGCGGAGTGATATGAGAAGTATGCAAAGAGTGTTGTGTTCCTGGTGGTGTGACAAGAGGAGTTAAAATGAATAATGCTTCTAAGGAGTCAGACGTGAAATGAGTGGAATGCAATGAGTAATGCTGCTTGTGACTTGATATGAGTGGTATGAAATGTGTAATGTTCCTTGTGGCTTGATATGAGTGGTTTGCAATGTGCAATGTTCCTTGTGGCTTGTTATGAGTGGTAAGCAATGTGTAATGTTCCTTGTGGCTTGATATGAGTGGTATGCAATAAGTAATGTTCCTTGTGGCTTGTTATGAGTGGTATGCAATGAGTAATGCTTCTAGTGACTTGATATGAGTGGTATGCAATTAGAAATGTTACTAGTGACTTGATATGAGTGGTATGCAACGTGTAATGCTCCTAGTGACTTGATATGAGTGGTATGCAAAGTGTAATGCTCCTGGTGACTTGATATGAGTGGAATGCATTGTGTAATGTTCCTTGTGGCTTGGTATGAGTGGTATGAATGAGTAATGCTCCTAGTGACTTGATATGAGTGGGATGCAATGTGTAATGTTCCATCTGGCTTGATATGAGTGGTATGCAATGTGTTATGTTCCTTGTGGCTTGATATGAGTGGTGTGCAATGAAAAATGGTCCTAGCGGCGTGATATAAGTGGAATGCATTGTGTAATGTTCCTTGTGGCTTGGTATAAGTGGTATGCAATGTGTTATGTTCCTTGTGGCTTGATATGAGTGGTGTGCAATGAAAAATGGTCCTAGCGGCGTGATATAAGAATTATGCAGTGAGTAATGTTCCTAGTAGAGTGATATGAGTTTAATGCAATGAAAATGTTACTAGTGGAGTGATATAAGAAGTATGCAATGAGTAATGTTACTAGTGGAGTGATATAAGAAGTATGCAATGAGTAATGTTACTAGTGGAGTGATATAAGAAGTATGCAATGAGTAATGTTACTAGTGGAGTGATATAAGAAGTATGCAATGAGTAATGTTACTAGTGGAGTGATATGAGTTTAATGCAATGAAAATGTTTTTAGTTGCGTATATAGTATACAAAGAGTAATGTTCATTATGGCATGAGAGTATTTAGTGGGCAATGTTCATGATGTTTCTTGCAGATCAAGTGACGTTAGTAGAATGGATAATGTTCCTTGTGGTGTTTGAAGGGTAAAATGGGCTATGTAGCTAAAGTAGATTGCAATAAGTAATATTCCTTTTGTAGTTTGTGAGTGTGTAATGTTCTCTGTTAAATGAGTTGTATGCAGTAGATTATATTACTAGTGTTATTTCATGTGAAGTGTATGTGAACATTTTGACTTTCTGACCGTGAGACCACAAACACGCATCAGGGACATGCAAAGAAAGTGACCGTGTGACCATTTGTACGCACCACTGGTAACCCCTTTTCTACGAAAAGGGGTCAAAATTGCAACCTATATAATCCCCTTGAGGAGAGCATAGGAATGCGTGGTCAACCGGTCATTCCACTTTATAGCATTTCGGCTATGAGGAAACCCTGGTTGACAACTTGCTTGTTAAGCAATAGTATTCTTATACTACACATTTCAAAGGGTTTATATATCATACATTAATGACAAACCGAATGGGAATGACTACTTATTTATTTTTAAAATTAACATGTTTAATAATCATTAATATCAAAATATATTCTTTCTTTAGACTTTTTTATTTTTTATCATCAATTGTTTTTGAATATATATGGTTTTAATTAGATTTTACCAAACAGGAAATGTTTCTAAACGTATTTTTTTGTCGTAAAGAAACAAAAAGTTAACGCATGTAAGTTAAATCTTTGCCCGAGCCGACACATATTTCAACAGTGCAAAGCTGATAATAACGAAATGTGATTGTGACACCAAACATAAACGCGTTAATATGACCACGGATTTATATATTTAATATAAATCCGTGATATGACCGAATCATGGAAACAACAACTATCCTAAATAATTTAAAGGCACTTTATGCCTTAGAAACAATTTTTTATTGTCTTCTTTTGAAAGGAGAACATGAATTTTAAAATGGTTAAATAATGGTTTCAAAAAAAAGTTTAGATGTTTGGTACTTTATTAATGTGAAATAAGTTTTCATATAAGTAGCAAAATGAAAACACAATAGTATTTTGACTTCCATACAAATTATTATTTCACTATAACTGTACTTATTGCCAAAAAGCAAGATAATAAAAGGACGGTTCATGTATTTGGCTAATGAGTAACTTTTTGGATACTATAAATCAAAGTACACTAAAACTAAAATGGTTTTTTGAGAAATTAAATTAAAAGCATTTCTGTAGCATAAAGGGCCTTTAAATCTAACTCGAGTACACGCATCTGACATATGGATAAATTGTGTACTGATATTTTGTATAGTTAAGATATCAGTATTATATCATGTTACATACTAAAGTTGTTGTTGTTGTTGTTGTTTCTCATGAATATTCAGTACGTATTTGCATCGATTAATGCATTTTATAGAACAACATGTAGCCTCCTCACCGTCACATGATGCACTTGATGACCTCTGGTATAGTGAAAATTTCGTATAGACTATAAAATTGAAATAAATGACGATGTAGCGAGTGATAGTAACATAAGTATGTTTATGATTAGAGATTTACTAAGTAGGACAATAGTTTCAGATAAGATGCGACATTCTGAATTTCTAGTTTAAACTGTAATATTTATATTCAGAACACGTGAGTGTACATATTAGAAAAGTTAGACGAAACAGGTTGCTCAAGTTCGTCGGTTTTGTTATACCTGCACTTCATATATCGTCTGTTTTGATTCATTTGCATAAATAAGCAATAAACCGACAAAAACACTTATGACAGCTTTACCTTTTAATCGGGGAGCAGATTTTGATGAAGTCGGTAAAGAAAACGACCGTTTATTTACGGAATACGATCGCGAAATTAATAATATATATAAGCATAAAAACGCATTAGACGAACATATTCAACTAACGGTACAGAGGATGTCTTTTGCAGCAGAAGAATTTGGTAAAGGAACTAATGTTGATGACGGAAAATGTTGCAGGAAGATAAATTTAGGAGGTTTAATTACACGACTGATACCGTTAATTGTTTTAATTGGATATTTAGTATACCTTGGATTTGCTCTTTATCTGAATCCTTCACAGTCCGTGTTTGTTTGCGTTGTTGCAATTTTTGTGATATATATTTGTGTGAATATACTGACGGGCGGTAAAATAAGTAAGTTTGTAACCAGAGGAATCTTCCGGGTGAAGAAATGCTTTAAAGTAAGAAATAGACGTATGACATTATGGGCGAGGAGGTAAGTTTTGTTTATTATATCATAGTTGTATGTAAATATATATGTAATTGTGATATCTAAATAAACTGGATTATAATACGACAAGGGGATTTAAGATAACCGCTAAGTTGAACCCTGTGTATTTATCTTTATAATCTTAACGACTGACCATGTCCATTTAGTGAAGTAGTTTTCTTTTGTTGTTGTTTGGATTTTGTTTCTTTCCTTGTTGTTTTTTTTTGTTTGTTTGTTGGTTATTGTTGCGGTTTCTTTTGTTGTTTTATTTTTCGTTGCTGCCTTGTTTTTACTTCAGTCCTGGTTAAGTTTTTCTACCACACTAAAAATAGCAAACAAACAAACAAACAAACAAATTGCTTTGTATGATTGGTCATACATGAGTTACTTTTTGGAAAAACCCAACATTGATGAACTCATTAACTTATCCTACAAAGAGCTGAGAAATATCAAGGATTTTCTTTTCGCTTTGTAACAGTATGCTCAAAAGTGTTTTCATGATGTTTTAGATTCCAGTCAGCCGGTCCACCTTCTCTTCTAGACCAGTTAAAATGCGTCGTTTTCGTACTAAAAATACAATCTATATGTTTTTCAGTTTCACTTCTCTTGGTCCTGATCGTCTCGTGATTTGTTAAAGGGACTCCACTGACGTTCTTTTGACTTGAAATAATTTTCCGAGATCAAATTTTCCATTTGATGCAGGTCTAGAACAATAACAAAATAATCAAATGATTCGCTATTTCCGTTTTCCCCAAAATAATTATTCAATTGTGAAAAATAACCCAAAATTGAAAACCGTTGCAACGCTTTTCACTCATTAGACTAAGCTAAGAATAGCACAATAATGCGATTTTAAATTTATTTCTGATGATTATAGTTCGTTATTATTTTTTGAATGTACTTCTCCTGTAGGTGTCCCATGTGATCTATTTAAGAAATTCAAATTCATTACTATCAGGCCCTTAGACCTGAGTGGAGTTCCTTTAAGATATGCTATGCTCATAGTTGCGTAAAATATTTTTATCATATTATAGTATGCAATGAGTAATGTTCCTAGTGGCGTGACATGAGTAGTATGCAATGAGTAATGTTCCTAGTGGCGTGACATGAGTAGGATTCAATGAGTAATGATCCTAGTGGCGTGACATGAGTAGAATGCAATAAGTAATGTTCCTAGTGGCGTCATATGAGTAGTGGCGTGATATGAGTAAAATGCAATGAGTTACGTTCTTAATGGCGTGACATGAGTAGTATGCAATGAGTTATGTTCCTAGTGACGTGACATGAGTAGAATTCAATAAGTAATGTTCCTAGTGGCGTGACATGAGTAAAAATCAATGAGTAATGTTCCTAGTGTGTTGACATGACTAAAATTCAATGAATAATGTTCCTAGTGGCGTGGCATGAGTAAAATTCAATGAGTAATGTTCCTAGTGGCGTGACATGAGTAAAATTCAATGAGTAATGTTCCTAGTGTGTTGACATGAGTAAAATTCAATGAATAATGTTCCTAGTGGCGTGGCATGAGTAAAATTCAATGAGTAATGTTCCTAGTGGCGTGACATGAGTAAAATTCAATGAATAATGTTCCTAGTGGCGTTGCATGAGTAAAATTCAATGAATAATGTTCCTAGTGGCGTGGCATGAGTAAAATTCAATGAGTAATGTTCCTAGTGGCGTGACATGAGTAAAATTCAATAAGTAATGTTCCTAGTGACGTGACATGAGTAGAATGCAATAAGTAATGTTCCTAGTGGCGTGATATGAAGAGTATGCATTAAGTAATGTTCATAGTGGCGTGATATGAGTAGAATGCAATAAGTAATGTTCATAGTGGCTTGACATGAGAAGTTAAAAATGAATAGTGCTTCTAGTCAGTGGAGTGATATGAGAAGTTTGCAATGAGTAATGTTCCTAGTGGCTTGAAATGGGTGGTGTGCATTGAGAAATGGTCCTAGCGGCGTGATACATGTATAAGAAGTATGCAATGAGCAATGTTTATGGTGGGAATAGTTTGCATCAAAAATACTCCTAGTGACTTGATATGAGTAGAATGCAATGAGTTATGTCCTATTGGAGTGATATAAGAAGTATGCAATGAGTAATGTTCCTAGTGGAGTGATATGAGTTAATGCAATGAAAAATGTTTTAAGTGGCGTTAATTGTATACAATGAATAATGTTCCTTGTGGCGTGAGTAGAATTCAGTTGGCAATGTTCATGATGTTTCTTGCAGATTAAGTGACGTAAGTAGATTACAATTAATAATCCTCATTGTGGTATGTGAAGCGTAAAATGGACTATGTAGCGTAAGTAGACTGCAATAAGTAATGTTCTTTGTAGTTTGTGTGTATGCAATATTCTTTGTGAATTAAGTTGTATGCAGTAGATGATGTTCTAGTGTTATTTCTTGTGGAGTGTGTATGTGAAAATTTTGATTTTCTGACCGTGCGACCACAAACACGCATCAGGGACATGCAAGGAAAGTGACCGTGTGACCATTTACACGCATCACTGGTAACCTCTTTTCTACGAAATTTGCAACCTACTGATCCCCTTGACGAGAGCATAGGAATGCATGTCCAACCAGACATTCCACTTTATAACCTTTCGGATAAGAGGAAACCCTTGTTGACAACTTGCTTGTTAAGCAATAGTATACTAGTATTACATATTTCAAAGGCTTTATATATCATACATTTATGACAAACCAGATGGGAATGACTACTTATTTATTTAAGAAATTAACATGTTTAATAATCATTACTATCAAAATATATTCTTTCTTTAGACTTTTTTTATTTTTTATTATCAATTGTTTTTGAATATATACGGTTTTAATTAGATTTTACCAAACAGGAAATGATTTTAAACGTATTTTTGTCGTAAAGAAACAAAAAGTTAACGCTTGTTAGTCAAATCTTTGCCCGAGGCGACACATATTTCAACCGTGCAAAGCTGATATTACCGAAATGTGATTGTGACACCAAACATCACCGCGTATATATCACCGAATCATGGATCAAATACTCATCAAAAAAGCAACTATCTTATATAATTTAAAGGCACATTATGCCTTAGAAACATTTTTTTAAAACTTCATTTGAAAGTGGAACTTGAATTTTAAAATGTTTAAATAAGGGTTTTAAAAAAGGTTAGATGCTTGGTACTTAAGGAAAGTAGCGACTAAATAGATGTGAAATATTTTTTCATATAAGTAGCAAAATGTAAACACACAAGTATTTTGACTTCTATACAAAATATTATTTCACAATACCTGTACTTATTGCCAAAAAAAGCAACAGATAAGAAAGATGGTTCAGGTATTTGGTCAATAGGTATTTTTTTTGAATACTATAAAAGTACACCAAAATTAAAAAAAGGTTTTGAGCAATAAAAATAAAAAGCATTTCTGAAGCAAAATGGGCCTTTAATTCTAACTCTGATGAAACGTTTGAGTACGCGCATCTGGCATATGGATAAATTGTATTTGAAAATCATGAAAACGGATTCCTTAACACTTTTTTAAAAGTGCTATGGTCCGAGGTAATAATGCTCAAACTCAGATCTCAGATATTTGCTTGGTCAGGTAATGACACACAGAATGTAGATTGGCCAATGAAAATCATCGAGACAAAGGTCAAAGGTCAAAAAAGGTTTAATCACCAAATGGACAGTTTTGAGAATGATGCTGAAAGAGCAGTTTTTTTCTTGTCATGTCTTATTGTTAATAGCTATTGATAAGATTACTGGTACAGAGAGAATGCCAATTATTTAAGGTATAGGCCCCATTTTGCAGACTTAATTCCTGTAATGTATCTTAATTTCGTTTCCGACAAGATCATTTAACCGGAGAGGTCAGTCTGTACCATTGGTCAATATAATAGTGGACCAAATTTTTTGCTTGTCATCAACTTGGATTGAATTATTGACATGGTAAATACTAAATCAAGGCTTAATATTTATTATCGAATGGATTATATAGTAATGTTTGTTCATGCATTATTTTTAGAAGTTAAATGTATGTTGTTTATACATATGTATATATATTTGATATGACAATGTATTTAATTGTAAATATGTTTCGTCTCCAAAAATGGAGGAAATAAAAGTATATATGTCCTATTTACACTGACTTGTAAAGTTTCCTAGAAATTTTAATTCTCTGGGAAACAAGACATCTAACATAACATCGTGCCATGGGACAAATTTTTTTGAAAAAGCACAAACACTTTATAGCATTTTTTATTACATGATTAGAGGCCTATTATACCCCAAAAATGCTTTTATTTTATTTCTCAAAAGCTTTTTATTTTCGGTGTGCTTTTGTATAGTTCCCAAAAAGCTACTGATTGACCAATTAGCTATTCAATCTTTTCCTTCTTTCGCGTTTTCGCAATTAGTACAATTATAGTGCTTTAGTATTTTATAGGGAAGTCAAAATTCTACTTTGCTTCTTTTGTAACAAAATGTATTTAGTGCTACATGTACTTTCGTCATGTAACAAGCATCTAACATACTTGCTCTCAAACCATTATTTTAATGTAACAGTTATAGAATTAATATTTATCAAGAAGTTACAATTAATGTTTTACGTTTTCTGAGGCATTATGTGCCTTTAAACTTATAGAAATTTATGAATATAAGCATAATATATATGATGATTACATGATTTTATGAATACTTTACAAGCACATGTACATATAAACGAAGCAGTTAATTAAATAAAAAATGAACCTACATATGTAATTAATTTTTTTTTGGGACAAGTGTACTGATATTTTGTACAGTCACGATTTTAATATAATACCATACCATACCATACACTCAAGTTGTTGTTGTTGTGTCTCATGAATATTCAGTACGTATATTTGCATATATTTATGCATTTTATAGAACAACATGTAGCCTCCTCACCGTCACATGATGCACTTGATGACCTCTGGTATAGTGAAAATTTCGTATAGACTATAAAATTGAAATAAATGACGATGTTACTGATAGTAACATAAGTATGTTTATGATTAGAGATTTACTAAGTAGGACAATAGTTTCAGATAAGATGCGACATTCTGAATTTCTAGTTTAAACTGTAATATTTATATTCAGAACACGTGAGTGTACATATTAGAAAAGTTAAACGAAACAGGTTGCTCAAGTTCGTCGGTTTTGTTATACCTGCACTTCATATATCGTCTGTTTTGATTCATTTGCATAAATAAGCAATAAACCGACAAAAACACTTATGACAGCTTTACCTTTTAATCGGGGAGCAGATTTTGATGAAGTCGGTAAAGAAAACGACCGTTTATTTACGGAATACGATCGCGAAATTAATAATATATATAAGCATAAAAACGCATTAGACGAACATATTCAACTAACGGTACAGAGGATGTCTTTTGCAGTAGAAGAATTTGGTAAAGGAACTAATGTTGATGACGGAAAATGTTGCAGGAAGATAAATTTTGGAGGTTTTATTAAACGACTGATACCGTTATTTATTCTAATTGGATATTTAGTTTACCTTGGATTTGCTCTTTATCTGAATCCTTCACAGTCCGTGTTTGTTTGCGTTGTTGCAATTTTTGTGATATATATTTGCGTGAATATCTTGACGGGCGGTAAAATAAGTAAGTTTGTTACAAGAGGAATCTTCCGGGTGAAGAAATGCTTTAAAGTAAGAAATAGGCGTATGACATTATGGGCGAGGAGGTAAGTTTTGTTTATTATATCATAGTTGTATATAAATAGATATGTAATTGTGATATCTAAATAAACTGGATTATAATACGACAAGGGGATTTAAGATTTAAGATAACCTCTAAGTTGACCCCTGTTTTATCTCTATAATCTTAACGGCTGACCATGTCCATTTAGTGAAGTAGTTTTCTTTTGTTGTTGTTTGTATTTTGTTTCTTTGTTTGTTGTTTTTGTTGTTGTTTTTTGCTTTTACTTCAGGTTTAGACTTTGTATCGCTCTCAAAAATAGCAAAAACAAATACCGCTTCGTGTGATTGGTCTTATATTTTCATTTCTTTTGATAAAAAGAAACAACAACACAGAATGAATTAATTTGCTAAACGAACACAGTGCTGAGAAATATCAAGAATAGATTTTCCGAGATCAATTTTTCATTTTATATAGAACAATAACTTGTGTGCAAATGATATCCAGATTTTTCGCTTTCTCCGTTTTCCAAAAATAATTATTCAAATTGTGAAAAATGACCCAAAATCGAAAAAAAGATGCAACGCTTTTTACTCATTAGACTAAGCACAAGACTATGGTTTTGAAATTTATTTCTGAATATACATGTTATTCGTAATTATCTTTTGCATATATTTTTGTATTTAGTGTTGAAGGTGATCTATTAAAGACATTTAAATTTTATGCTAAAGTATTAGGGTTTTAGACTTCGAGTGGAGTTTGTTTTAGATATGTTTAGATAAAATATAGTTGTTTTAAAATGAAAGCTCAAAAGTGGTAATATACAAAACGACATGATTAATTAGTATTAGGAAAACACAACACGGAAGCGTAAAATCAGTACCGTTATACTCATGTCTTTTCAGGATCACAACGATTGCGGTATTCGTTGGTATTTTAGTGTTCCTTGTGATTGATCTGTGGGACGAATGGCGGAAGTGGATTCCACTGGGTGGGCTGGCTTTATTTGTCATTATTTCTGTTGTGTTCTCCAAAAATCCGAGAAAGGTTCAACCAATTAAAATGTCTTTTATTGTGACTTTGACGAAGATATTAACTTTCATTTGCTACTAGATAATACAATTTTATAATGTCTATTTCCTATTTAACATATTTTAAATTGAAATTTCTCATGTAAAAATGGACAATGCCAGAATAAAGTCGATTATTCAAATTAAGAAAAAAAAAAAACGGTTAATGGAGTACATTGTTATAATATTTCTTGGTAATCGCAATAGGGATAGGTTCGTCTCTTGCAGTATACGTAATAAACGAAATATGTTTTAAATCACGTTTCTTTTCTCTTAAGGCTTATATCATACAAAGCATTGATTAAATTGTTCAATATCGAAAACCATAGCGTCATGGCGATTTAAATTACAATGGTGAAACTACTTTAAAAGCGACCAGTATTCTTTTTAGACATTACTATGCTCTATTTAAAGTTTATTCAATATATTTCTCTTTCCCAACAGATCATATGGACGCCGGTTATATGGGGAATATATCTACAGTTCGGGCTCGGTTTGCTTATATTACGATGGGGTCCGGGGTTCGAAGCCTGTCAGTGGATTGGAAGACAAGTGACAACATTCCTTGGCTACACGGACGCTGGTTCCCAGTTTGTTTTCGGCGATAAATATATTTATCACCCCGTTGTGTTTAAGGTAAAATACAGAATAAGATTTTAACCATTCGAAGAAAAACTTGAAAGATACCAATTTCAATTATCCGGAAATTGACGGAAAGGCCCGAAATATTGCGACTTACATTTTAACAATATTGATTCATTTATTTTCCTTTTTTATAAAGTAACATTTGTCTATAGTTTTCTTGAACGACCTGTATATATTATGTTAATTCCGGTTCATCAAAATGTTATGTTAGTCAAAATGTCTTGAAAGCTATGAAGCCAATTTTTTTATTGCTAAAAATCTATTTAGTTTCATTTCAAGAAAATAGTGAAGCCTTTGCAAAAACCATTTGCGTGTATATCTTGTAAAATTCCTGTTTACAAGGACGATATTTTTAATTTCCCCATTCGGAAACTTTACTAAAAATGTTTTCACTAAGGGAAGCTTTGTCAAAATGTGCAATTTCCCATTATGATTGATTTTAAAACGTGATATCGTTTTCAATGCTGTCGTTTCCAAATGCGTAGACCTAACAACTGCAATATACATGCATACGCGTAACAATTTAGTTCGATGATATTTTAGTAAATCGTAACAGGAAACTTTTTTTCATTTACAAAAATTAAATCTGTAACCTTTCATTAGTATTTTAAGTACTTTGATTTTATGAAGGGTATGATGTCATGTAAAAGAATGAAAGTTTATCTGTTTCAAAACAAGTACCATTCATCTTGGGGAATGGTTCTGTTTAAAAATAAAGTTTCGGCATACGACCGTGTTTCAAGCAAGGTTTTGTTATAATATTTTTATGTTAAATTTCACTTTTAATTTATTTTGTCAAATTTTATTTCGTTATATGTAGATATTTCCAGTTAGGGGTTATTCTCGGGTGTTTTTAAGCACGGTTTTGTTATATCTTATTATGATTATTATCTCGTATTAATTCTTCATATATAGATACTTCCGGTTGTGGTTTTCTTCAGTAGTGTGGTGTCTATATTATACTATTTGGGAGCTATGCAGATTATTATAAAATGTATAGCAATTGTTTTACAAGTGATGTTATCTACGACACCAATAGAATCTTTCGCAACGGCTGCACATATATTTATAGGTCAGGTGAGGAAATTTTATAATACAAATGTACGTTACCAACTTACTAACAAGAATACCTGGGGCTTGACAAAATGGATGTACCTTAAATGAATTGCAAATTTATTACTTTATAACTGGGACAAAAAAGTGTTTTTGTCCCAGCTAATTATAGGTCTTTCATTCATTTTTTTTCTAAACTGCGAAGTTATAGTGTTGTTGTCTATGCATAAAACTCTTTATTTTCTTGCTAAACATGTCCGACAGTAAAATTTTAATATCGATCTGCAACTTAAAATGCCGCAATGAAAATTTTTCTTCGTGATTTTTTTGTAGTTATTTGTTGTTGTTGTTTTTTGTTGTGGTGGTTTTTTCTTATATCTTTTGTTGTTGTTTTTGTTGTTGTTTTTTCTGCATACGTTAACCGCTCGTTCTCCTTATTTTGAAATTGTTATATTTTTAACAGAAACTCACATGTATATATCTCTAACTGAATAGTTCTAACACTTCTTTGTATCATGAATGTTTAATGATGTTTTATTTAATTACATCCGTACAATGCTAAGTACGTACTAGCTAGATCGTGTTTTTCATATTATAGGTAGAATCCAGTGTTGCCCTGAGACCGTTTTGGATGAAGTTGACGGAATCAGAACTACATGCTATAATGACGAGTGGCTTTGCTACAGTAGCCGGGACAATAATAGCTGCTTATGTCGAATTTGGCGTAGGTTTTAACATAGTTTTCCTTTTTTCTAAAACTTGATAATAATCAAAGCACTGTATGGAAGTACTTAAATCAGAGAAGAGCACTTCTCGTTACTACGGTATATTATAATCAAAGCGCTGAAAGCACTAGAAATCAGAGAAGCATATGGAACTCTTAGTGTTTACTAAGACCGCGGTCAAGTCATTCCCTTTACAAGCACAGCCAAATTTAGTTACAACTTTTCAGCTGTATTCGGTAACATCATAAAAGCCGAGGAGTTGCGATAGTAATTGACGTAATGGGTTTGAAAAGGAACAGGGATGCCTTTTTTCAGCGGATCCGAAAATCCGCGGATTTCGAGATCCTCGAACCACTGATGTAAATCCGAGGAGAAAATTAAATTTGGGGGGGGGGGGGGGGGGGTCTCTTTCGCTGAGTTTGCTACCGTCTATTGTCCGCCGATTGTAAATGTTTAGACCGTACCGTAAATATTTAGACCATACCGCTTTTCGGGTATGCTCAGTTATTGTCGCTATTATAGTAAGCCAATGAACGATAGCGTTAAATATACCGACCAATCGTAGCGTCTTTCTGTAGTTGAAGAAAGCAAAACAAATTGTCGGCCGATTAGCAAGAAAGATATTTTTTACATGAATAATGGCAGCAATTAACTCCAACAACGCTTCTAAGATCAAAGACTGTGTCAAAATAAGTTTAATTTGAAATGGTAAGAGAACATAGTAAATGTGAATATCGGATCAACCGAGACAAACATCTGCATTGGTGACAAATATTCCTGGACAAGCTTCGTGTCGACTATGTTCAAAGCAAATTAATTATGGTAGTCGAGGGTTCGTTGCAATCGAGGATCACGTCAAATCGTAATATTATTACAGTTATAGATACTGATTAATTTCATTGAAATTAAAGTCTGCCTTAACTTTGTTACTGCCAGTCAAAGTAAAACAATAAAGCACTAAAAGGAAATGCATATTAGACCATCTGAAAAGGATGAAAACCCAGGAGCTTCCGGGGGCTTCGCCCCTCGGTCCCCCACCAGGGCTCTGCCCTGGACCTGCATGACCCCTTGCATTCAATTTTCCTCTTTTATTTCAAATTGTCTTTTGGTTTCCCTGAAAGGAAACAAAGAATATTATCCTTTGCACGCAATATTAAACAGCATTGTCAAATTGCACGCTGGGTAACCATGCCTGGTTCTAAAACGATAGTATGTGCATGAAAGTCTTATTGCAGCGGCTCAAAGAGTTTGTTGCTAACAAGCCTAATTATAAATTTTACTTTAAGGTTCCGGCTGAACACGTGATATCAGCTTCATTTATGTCAGCACCGGCGGCACTTGCTATAGCGAAAATCTCAGTGCCGGAAACCGAGGTGTCGCAAATAAAATCTCAAGCCGAAATCAAGCTCCCATCAGGGTAAGTCAGGTTTTAGCAATACGATACAAGTGTTGAAAGTTCATTATCTGAGTTATTAAGTCTATATAGGATATTGACATTTTAAAGGTTTAATTGTATTTTAATTGTAATATGATAATAAAATCTTACGCCAAAATCAAGCTTCCATCTGGGTAAGTCAGTTTTTAGCAATACAATACTAGTGTAGGAAAATTATTATCTAATGCCCCGGTCACATATTCACGGATAATGCCACGGAAGAGCTACGGTCTAATCGTTCACGGATTACTACGGAAATGTGAAATTCCGTAGTCCGCTACTGTTCCAGTACGGACACACAACGGTATGAGTACGGAGTCCGACGGATTTACCACCAAAAGCCCCCGGTGAGACACGGATTGTTACGGACCGACACGGTTTAATACAAAGCGACACGAATCAGGACGGACGCACTACGGATACACAACGGTATAAGCACGGGTTTGTACGAATAAGTACGGTCTGATACGGAGAAGAACGAATTGATACGGAGAAGAACGAATTGCCACGGATCTATACGGACCTAATACATCCGTCCACAACCTCTTGCATGCTCATTTTCAAAATGCCTCACAAGAAAAGAACACCTAGAAAACGAATTGCAGAGTTCAATGACTTTGGCGGAGAAGATTCGGCCTAATCGCGTCCGACCCCGAGACACATCAGCTTCATACTATACATGAATCGGTCTTAGTCCACCATCTCGTCTGTCTTCTCTTACGTGATAAGATATGGACTAGTAATCATTAATGAAAACTGTTGGTCAATACTGCTTTTCTTTTAATTTTAAAATTTGCTGTTCATTTTACAATTACATTAATTATCGTGAATGTCTATGTTTAAAAACATGTAAAAAGCTTGTTAATTAATCTTATTATCACTCAAGGGCCAGCGTCCGAGGCTTATGAGACACTTCGTATGTACATATTTACTCCAATTTCACGATCCAATGTTTGTAAAATATGTAACATTAAATGTTATTCTATTACTTATGAATTGTAGTACGATATTAATATATTTTTACCGCTATGCATATCACCAAGCAGCTCGACCACTGTCTCCGCATTCTGAGCCATTTCAATATAAAGTTGCAGCCAGTAAATGTAAATTTATTGAATGTTACTGCAAATATGTCTGTTTTTAAGAAGAAGGTAGTATTTATACCCTTGAAAAAGTACATGATACTTAATTCATCCGTACCAAACAGTGGTGTACCGTACCATTCCGTACCGTTTCGTGTTGCAACGCAATAAACCGTACAAGACCGTGCTAATCCCTGCCTCTCCGTAGTACAGCGTATTACGATCGTGGCTTTCCGTAACAATGCCGTATTAATCCGTATTAAATCGTAGCTGATACGTAGGATACCCGTACAAAAACGTATTTCTCCGTACCAAACCGTGGAAATCCTTGACAAGTTGGCGGGCTACGAATCAGTACGGACTAGTACGGTTTTCGTACGGACCAGTACGTATCAGTACGGTTTAATACGGACTTGCAGGGATACGCTACGGTTGATTTTTCCGTAGCAATTTGTTGTGCATGTTCAAAAATTGTCAAGGATCGCTACGGATATACAAGGACTACTACGATTGATAACGGTTACAATACGGAGAGCTACTGACCAGTACGGGTAGCTACGGACAATGCCGGAATTAATCCGTGGCTCTTCCGTGGGCGTATTCCGTGAATATGTGACCGGTGTATAAGTTTTAATTAAGTTTTAAGTTTTTATACATGTATAGTTTTTTGTCATTCTTAGAGTTAAATTATATTTTAATTATAATATAACATTTCAATAAATAAATAAATAGATAAATTAATAAATGAGGGGCGTCCGTGGCCGAGTGGTTAAGATCGTTGACTTCAAACCACTTGTCTCTCACCTCTGTAGGTTCGAGCTAGCTTACGGAACGTCGGTACTTCTACTCAGGATCCCGCTTGTGCCCGAAATAATATATAGAGGAGCATCTGAGGTCGTCCTATACAAGTAAAGCTGGAAAGTCGCCATATGACCTTTACCGTGTTGGTAAACCCAATCAAAAATAAATTAATAAGTAAAAATGAAATAAATAAAGAATATTTGAACAGAATACAATGTATGGTTAAATGTCCAACTTTTGTGAAATATCATGCGATAAATCCAACCAAAAAGTGACAAAGACTTTGTACATTTTATATTCAATATTTCTTTCATTCCATAGTCACAGTCTGTATGAGCATGTTAATTTTTAAATTTATCAAACTTCTCGGAATTTTTCAGACAGGAGTCGAACATGATAGAGGCATTGTCGGTGGGTGCTACTACAGCTATAAAGCTTGTAGCTTACGTGGTCGTCAACCTGATAGCCTTCATTGCCGTGCTGAGTTTCCTTGACCAAACCCTGTCATATTTTGGTGAACGAGTGAATTATCCGGATCTAAGCTTTCAGGTAAGTAACGGATATTTTGTTTGTTTAAAGGCACATCGTGTCTCAGAAACGAATAAACTTTCCCTTCTTAATAAAGGGCAATTGTTTAAATAATGGTTTAAGAGATACACGTAGTTAGTTACATATGTACTATATATGTATCATGTGATGATAGTAACGCAAAATGTAAACAAAACATAAATGAATAATGATGTAAACAGGACAGGACAACAAATTTATAAAACTTTTGACAAATAAAAAAAATGCATATATGGGGCTTAATTGGGCTTTAAGTTACTATTGAATATACCTCACAGTGAATATTGAAGATATCTTACACTTAATTTGAACATATCTCAAAACGAATATAAAATAACCATATCTCACAGTGACTTTTGTTATGTCTTCGTCCCCTGTTGCATGTGCTAGATTCACTATATATTAATATAGAAAATATCACGTACATTTTCATATTAAAGGCACATTATGCTTCAGAAAAATCCATTTTTTTAATTCTTTTAAATTAGTAAATCTCAAACATGCGTTTACATATAATGTTTTAAAAATGGATTTAGAGCATGTTAGAAGTTAAACAACTGAAAAAGTAGGCTGAACGTGCAGTAATGTGTCATCAAGATAAAAAATGTAAACAAAGTAGTATTTTCACTTCTTTACTTTTCTTTTTCTTTTACTTTTTGGAAACTGTAACAAATTACTAAAAAATTGTAAGGTTTAAAGAAATAGAACTGAAAGCATTTCTTAGGCATACTGGGCCTTTAAATGTTGTAATATGCGAGGCAGTTGCTTTCTTTCCTTTCAGTTAATATGCTCATACATATTCATGCCACTAGCTGCTGTTATTGGCGTCCCCTGGTCAGATACAAAAACTGTCGGCGCATTGATTGGGAAGAAGATTGTCATTAATGAATTCCTCGCTTACGCCGATTTAGGGACCATGATTGAAGAAGGTTCCCTTGATGTAAGTATTAATTCTACTCACGTCTTGAACTTGTTTTATTTATACTGTGTGTTAAAGTATCTTGTTTAGCATATTGTGTATAAATGTGTGTAGTACTTTAAAAATTGTGTTAAGTAAAATGAAAACGTTTCCATGAATTTAATTTTGAATTATTTAAAACTTAACCTGCTGGCGGAAATAGTTTCTACCAATACGCACTGGCCGCTACTCAATCCGTAAATATTTTGAAATTTTCCGTAAAAATGATACAGGTACAGTAAACTTCACTTATAGCGAACACGGTTATAGCGAACTTCCGGTTATAAGGAACAATTTTTTCGGTCCGAATTTTGCCCTTCTTTATTTAATATAAAAATATACGGTTACAGCGAACACGGTTATAAGGAATTATCGCTTATAAGGAACTCAATTACAATCCCAACATATTTATTATCGTTTTCAGGAACGGTCTGCAGTATTGGCAACATACATTCTTTGTGGATTCGGGAGTATTGCAGCTCTGGGTATAAATCTGGGCAGCCTGGCGTCATCAGCTCCAGAAAGACGCCCGCAATTCACCCAGCTATCTTTACGGTCTATGATAAATGGAAACATTGCATGCTTCATGACAGCGTGCGTAGCAGGTAACATTTTATATTAATATATAAAATGTTTAAAAGCACGCAGAACGTTTTATAAGAAAGATACCCGGGAAAAAATGTTTAAGGTTTTCGGACCTAAGTGGTGTTTCTTTTAATCAACTCAACAATTATTTACAAAATTATTTTAGCCACCTTTCACAAACTATTTGTTGACCTGGTCCTAGCATCAGGACCTTCTTGTGGGGACTTGAGGATGGTAAAATACCGCCAATTTCCCAGTCACATTAACGCTATATTTGGTCCGAAAACAAAAACAGCGCATTCGCATATATAGGACCATTTGTTGTAAATAAACTTTTGTTTCAAAGTATCACGTATGTTGTTGTAAATACACTTTTGTTTCAAAGTATCACGTATGTTGTTGTAAATACACTTTTGTTTCAAAGTATCACGTATGTTCAAGGGTCTATGCATTATATGGTGCTAAATCACCGATTAGGCTTAAACTTCAACCGCTTCTCCTTAAAAAACTTTTGTTAAATAAGAACAATTTATTTTTACTTATGGTAGCCATTTATTATCAAAATTATACAATTTATGTATTATTTTAATTACAGGGGTGTTATTCCAGACGTCACCGTCACTTGTTACTATCTCACCTTTTATGAATACAACGGAAGCGGCATCAACTTTGAACTTTACTTTAAATACAACTTTACTACCGTTATTCAATAGTTCACAATCTTAAAAATATTTTACAGTTCAATATCTTTTAAAGTAATACCTCTTTTTATTTATAAACAGATTTTACCCTTTATATTTTGTGTCTCAAATATCATAGATATTTCAACATATTTATGTAGTTTTTTTTTTCTAAATTTTGTCGCATTTATTAAACAAATGATATTATGAAATAAAGATGTCTTTATAATAGTTGAGTGTTAAGTTTTAATTCACTTTAAAGCGGCTCACCTTGAGATGTGTTTACAAATACAAAAAACAGATTAAAGGCTCAGAAATGCAATCATTTTATTCTCTTTCAAATACTACTTTGTTTACATTTTGTTACATTTACAAAACATTACTGCACATCCAACATTCGTTACTTTCTCCTGTTGTTAAGCATCTTTCACGCTCTAACTCAATTATTAAAACACTACTAAACACATGTTGGACATTTTTAAAGATTATAATAAATATGCATTTCCGAGGCATAATTTGCCTTTAATAATTCATACGACGTTCCTATTGTAAAGGGAAAGAACTGCAAACCATTGCAATTACCACAGTAATCGCCCCTGAACGTTAATGCAAAAAATAGCGTCATGACGTCATAAAAAGTAGCGTAAAAAGACGTTAGCTCTATGGTTTTCAGTAGACTATACAAACGCATATAGACAGCCGCTTTTTTAACGCAGGAAAGCAAATAATTATATAAGAATGTCACGAAGCAACGAATAGCAAGAACTTTATAAAATAAGCATGGAAAACATATCTACAGAGTATTTGAAAGGTATGATAAAATTTTGCTTTACATTTTTATTATCCAGATATAAAATTGATTGAAAATACTGCTGACGTAGGGGTGTAGAATCATTTTGAAATATTTTCTTAAATCGTTATAGATATTTATAAATTTATTTATTTATCTACTTATTTATTTATTTATTTATTTATTTATTCATTCATTCATTTAATTTATTCAATTTATTCATTTATTTATTTATTTATTGGTTGGTTGATGGGTGGGTGTGTTGGTGGGTGAGTGGGTGCATATTGGGTGGGCTTCGGTTGGTTGGTTGATCGGTTGCTGGGTTGGCTGGTGGGTGGGCGTGTTGGTTGGTTGGTTTGGTTGGTTGGTTGGTGGGTTGCTTGGTGGTTGGGTTGCTTTGTGGGTGGGTTGGTGTATTGGTTGTCTGGTGGATCGGTGGATTAATTGGTTGGTTAGTGGATTGATGGATTGATAATAGATTGGTTACATCGACTAAATTAATTTATTTTAAAAAATATATAATATTATATATTGTGAAGTTATCCACAAGATTAACTTATTTCACATGGGTCAGAATGGGTGTTTTTATACTAGATTTAGCAATTTATATTTTATGAGAGAAAGATCAACAACAACACGTAAATAAAACTTGTTTTTACTATCAAATACTGATTTTTTTACTGTACATCCCTTTTAGTTATTGTTGTTTTATTATTATTACATGTATTATTATTATTATTATTATTATTATTATTATCATTATTATCATTATTATCATTATCATTATTATCTTATTTTCTTTGTTGTTGTTGTTGTATTATTTAAGTTTCCTTTTTTCTAAATTTCAGAATTGTCTTGTCCAACAAAGGATCAAGGTTTGAAAAGCGAATTGTTAGAAAACGAAGGTCACTTACCACACACCGATGGTTCCGCAGAATGTCCTGATATATCAGATGTCATTGTTGACATATCTAAAGTTACAGAGGAAGGTGTTTCTATCAATAACGATACCAGTGAAAGATTTGTCAGCGTTCTTGAAAGGCGGAGGATGTTGAGAAAATCAGAGGAGGAAAAGGAAATTGATTGGAAAGTATCTGGAAAAGTTGACGAGGAAGAAATGAAAAGTAAGGTTGAAAGTCTTTTAAGTAAACTAAAAGTCCGTTTTAGTGAGGAAAGGGAAGCTAGAAAGAGTATAGTAAAACCAAACCGTTCATACTCTAATTTCTGTAATAGTGTTGACGCTTTCTTACGACATATTGAAACACCGAAAATTGATATCAATTACTCGAAAGTCAATGATAATTCACAAGGTGAAGAACTTTATAGCTTTGGTGTTAGGCCCGCAAGTATTGGTAAAAATAGAAAGATCAGATCATTCGACACTCATGTGAATGATTGTCTTATCAATATCCTACCGACAAAGGAAAACGACGATGAAGTAGCTGAGAAAGATGTAGATGGTGTTGAAAGCGTCAAAGATAATTCTGTTAGTAAAGAAGTTATTGAGCCACATATCGATCATATTGGCAGTGACACACTGTTTGACAAAGCGAGTGAATTTCAAGCAATTCTCTACTACAGTTCCTCATCCCCTGACGACAAAATGTGTCCCGCCATTTTTACAGACGACACTTTGCTACATCACGAAGCAGACGACAATATTTTGAAGCAGGAAATATTCGACAATATGTTACTGCGAGGATCAGGCGACAATATTGTACTACAAGGAAATGACGGGTGCCAGTTTAATCCGTTTGCTAACGATATGTGGACATACGAAAATCTCAATCCATTGCAATGTGGAAAATTCAGTCCTTGTCCAAGAGACATGCCAATGTTCTTTAAAGAAGTATACCCGCAAAATATATCTTCAGTTACCCAGTATTCACCAGCATTCAATCGCACTAATGCTTCCATAGTACCATTTACAGAAACAGTCCCGTTTACAAAAAGGCACCTATCAATTTGCGGAATAAACATGACTGTTCCATTGAAATATCTGAAGAAAATTGTCAACGACTACGCATATCAGTTCTTGATATATGCCAAACCGACATCAAAGAAAGTTTATGGTTTTCCTGCAGACGAAAATTTAATTGGATACCTTCAGCCAGTACAACCCATTATCCATCTGTTGACATTTAAAGATATAAATGGTATCATTTCACTAATAACTGTCATGTGTCCAATAACCAAACATTACGTTTTAGACATATGTATGAAGCCATCAAGCAAATTTATCACTGTCGGAAACTTAAAACCTAAACAGAGACATGTCTTCAACATATGTGAGAAGCCAACAAATAAACAACTGCATGGCGTATCTGAACACAAAATATCTAAAGTGCCGCAGATTTTCAATCTAAGCCTTGAAGACGAGCGCGTGACAAACACCGCAACAACAGCAGACGATCAAAATGTATTTGCAGACGACAGTCAACGAGCGGGAAACGAGAAAATCATTGACGAGTGGGATGATGTAGGTTCGTTTGGGATAATGTCCATCTATTGTAACAGTGAGATTCATTCCGGGTAAGTTAAAGGCACATTAAACTCAGAAATATAATATGTTTTAAACAAAATACTAAATCACTTAATAAAATAAACGCTAAAATTCAATAGAAGTAAAACATGATTCAGTTTTATGGCCAATGAGTAACGTTGAAGACCTTGTATTGTAATATGCAGCAATATATGTAATATGACCATGTAATATGCAACAATATATGTAATATGACCTTGTAATATGCAGCAAAATCGAAACTTCAAAAATTTTGAGAAATAAAAAAATACGATTATTTTTGTCGCTAAATGGGACTTTAAGATACATGTTTATTTGAACGACAATAACAAGCCATTTTATTATATACTGTGTTAAAATTAATATTGAGAAATTTTAATGATGTAAAATGCGTTTTTTCATATTTTTACTGTAAAAAAATATTTTTCACTGCATTGAAACATATATTTTTCGTATTTTCACTGGTGTCTTGCCGGACAACTAATACTCACGATTTATGTGGAAACCTTTCAAATTGTAATGTCAAAAAATAGAAAACTGTATATAATAAACAAATAAAAATAAGTTATTCCTATAAATACAGGATTTGTTTTCATCTTGTGTTTGTTAAGTTGAGTTTATAATTTCTTTCTTGTATTCTTATAGGTATGCCAGAGTACCAGACGATCCGCCAGACAGTATCCAACTGAAGTAAAAAGAGAGAACAAAGTTATTATATGACAATCAGTTATTTTTAAGATAAAGAATTATGATGACAGCAAGATCATCAATGTATATTTTCAACGCACGAACTTTGATATAAATAACTGATTATAAATAATTTTAAATCAAATTAAAATTTGTCTTTTTTTTCTCTGCTGAAATAGAGGACTTTCAAATTAATAATCAACCGCCCTTTCCAGTCATCTGTCTTACATTTGCACTAGGGAATGCGCTTTAGGCATATATCTATTCCTGTGTGATATTTAAAAAAATGGTATCGGTATTCAATGATGTTTTAGATGTTTTATTGTTAGCTGGACAAAGAAAAGTGCCGTTCAGCAGAACAGAGAAAATTTTCCCCGTGTTTTTTTAATTCATACTCATTATTTTGACAAAATCTTCCACATTGTTAATACGGATTTATTTTCTTCGTCGTGCTAAAAACAACTCTTTCCATCTCTTACCATCTGTAATAAGATTGTGAATATACAATTATGGGTAATGAAAAAAACTAGTTCACATACGTAAAAAATTTGAAAGAAGTTGATTGAACATTTTTTTTTAAAACATGAATCAATTCATGTAATTAAGCCTATACACAAATATCATTGGTATATCTCCACCAAATCATCACGTAGTATTACAGAATGGTATTCACTGACGGCTCTTTCACATTGCCAGCACCTTTTCGATGGTTCACATGAGTATTTTATTTTTAACCGAGCTTTGTGAACTATTATTTGTCTTGATCCAAAGAAAAGAATATTGGAGACAATGGTATATGACACGATGAAATGGACAACCTTTAATTGAACCGTAGAGATATTGCTCAAAATGTGTCTCCTCGTAATAGAAAACACACAAGTTGGTATTTGGGCACCAAACCCCACTAAATGAAGCCACAGCTTCGAATGGCCAGGATTTCATGGATATAGTGACTATTGTGGATTTAAATGACTGGTTGTCTTTAAAATGGATTTTCAGCATGAAATTTGTTTTTGTGACATGTAATATGATCATTGGCAAATTCGAAAACATGGTTAGAAATCACATGCTGATAATTATTGATGTCAAGGCCGCCATTGTTTGTAAACATTGCTTTTAAACAGCATGCTCGGTGAAAACAAGTAATTTTACAGGGGGGTACAAACTTTCAGCAATAGCAAAAACTCTACAAGGCCAAGCACCTATTTCTTTGTGATATTTTGCATGTATAGGGAGTTGCTAAAGCAGTGACAGAGTTTCTGTAGACCGTATATTTGCAGGTATCTTTTGCCGGGGGGACGAAAAATGTTGTTTTGAGTCTCGGACCACTATAGATTTTTGGCTTTTACGGAATGAATTGGAATTTTTTTAACTGCCTGACTGTTGCACATCGGATGATTTCATTACAGATTTGCAATGTTATGACATATATGTTCATAACAAAATGTGTTTTCTTTTTCCAGGTTGTGTAGTTTGGGATCAGATTTATCAGACATATTGCTTGTAGGACATTGACGGCAGAAACTTGAAATTTAGTGTGGAGTGCTACCTTTGGTGACATAAAAACTACGAAAGCCCATAGGGGCCATGTTACACCGTAAAACGCCCATACCGCAAAACATACGCGTGTGGACGTTTTGCGTCGCATATCGTACTTGTACATGTGGACGTTTTGCGGTGTATATCGTACTTAGTACGTTTTGCGGCGAGAGTGTGTCTTTGCGTCGCATATCGTCTATATTTTTTGTATTAAAATATATTCATTATAAACGTAACTTTTATTGGTTCTGTCACTTTCATATTGATTCAGGTAAAGATATGACGAAATAAACATAAAAGTGCAATATTTTTGTGATCCTATATAATTCTGACTTTTTAAAAAAGAAAAAAAGAAAGAAGTATGCTTAAGCCGAGGATATTTTTCGAATAGATTTTTTATGGAATGGAACCAAGCAGCAGCAGCAGCAGCAGAGATATAAAAACGATGATATTGAAGTAAATGTAATAAAAGTGCGCATTTTTGCTTGACGCGACTCAAATATTTTGAACTACAAATCTAGTAAATGCAAGTTTGAAATTGTCATAAAATATAACTTTGAAAAATGATTCAATTTATAGATTAGTCGGAAAGTCCGTCTTTTTACTAAAACCGTATTATTTTATCGCCTGAAGAACAAAACATTTCGTCTATAAATTACATAGATGATGTGTAATAGAGTATATTATAACAAACATTCTTCCGCATAGGAAATGATGAAAAAGAAGTGCAATGTGTTATATTGATAAAAACTAAAGCATATTTTAAAATATCGTAATGTAAGCGTTTGTTTGAATGCCATAATGTAATTTTATAATTGAACAATATAATTTTGTAATTGAACAAAGCAAAAAGGTCATTGACCTTATATCACCCACCTGCCTATAAAGGCACCACATGACAAGGGTAGATAGCATTGAATATTACAAATAAAAAGCAAGTACATTTCATGTACTTGGTCAGAATCTGGGTAACTGATATCAGTACTCAATACTACGTCTGAAATGGTCATCAATATTCAAATATCTGTAAATGACAAAGATATGGTAATTTAAGCAAAATACAATAATGACCTTGAGGTCAAGGTCATTTCAAGGTCAATATCATAATTGAACTATTCAAGATGTCCGCCCTGCCATAAATGTATGAATGACATCTGATCATTGATAACAAGGAAATGGCAGTTTTATCACAATTCAATAATTTGACTTTAAAATATGTCTTTATTTTTATTATTCAAAGGCAAATAACTCTTGATATACATGTATTCTCATAAATGAACTTAGTCGATGTATATTGTTATACATATTCTGTATAAATTTTTTTAAGAATGGAGAAGAAACGAAAGCACTAGCAAGGTGAAAAATAAATCGTTTCTTGTAAGTTTTTTTTTGTTAGATTTAGCCTATAATCTAACTTTGTTGAGATTTTATGGTCATAGATATTCTGTTGAAAATTGTCAAGATTGAAAAAGAAATGAAAGCGTTGGAGTGGTAACAATGTGAAATATAACAGATATTGTAATTCAAGGACAGATAACTCTTGACATATTGCTTAGGGTATGTGGATGCTAGAGTGGTAACAAGCTTAATTTGGACGGACAGACAGACAGACAGGCGCATATTCAGGTGAGCTTAAAGTAACACACAATAACACCTGATAATAACTGGTCAAAATTAACGAAAATTATATAATTTTTAAAATATGGACGTTATGCGACAGCACCATGCCTTTTTGCCGCAAAATGTACGTCAGAAAATGTGGACGATATGCGCCGCAAAACGTCCATATACGTACGTTTTGCGGTACGGACGTTTTGCGGTGTTACATGGCTACCGCCACTCATGAAATATTTATTTTCATACCACTTGATGAGAATAAATCTTGTATTTGCAGAAAAAACTTGAATATCCTCTATATATTTTTAACATCTTTTGCATATTTGCCACTTTTAAATGTCCATGCAGTTTATCTATGTAAGAATGTATTTTTTATGTGTTTAGGTTTTATGACCACAGTGGAGCTCCTTCAATTAAATACCTTAACAAACTTACTATATAATATCGTTTTCAACTTTAAGGTCTCAGCTTCTTTCAATATTTCATTTGATACCACTTCCAATTGTTCTTGCGTCTTAATGCTCGAATGACGAATAAAAACTGTTTCGCGCATGTCACGTGATGGTGTGCCAACCATGTTAACTTTTTGGTCCTTCCGAATTATCCAGGCGGGGAACAATAGTTTCATATAAATACATAGCAAATTAAATCGCTTGACTGAAAAGAGATCGGAAAGTGTTTTGCCGGCGTCTTTAACGGATTTGTTTAGTAAAGTTTTTTTGGTGAGAATCAATCAGTGGTTAATCATACAAGATTGTCCCCGAGCGCTCATGATCGAGTGATTTGCCATGCACTTTACTGTTAGCTACATTTGTGTGAAGTTTGTGAGAGGGATGTGACGGAAACAAAAATATGGGAGGTTTGGAATTGTTTCTTTTACAATCAAAAATGTAAGTTATTTTATATTTTATTAAAACTATATATCCGAAACGTAATATTATTACACATGAAAATTGGGAAAGCGTTAATGTTTGTTTGTTTTTGTTTTTTGAGGAAAAAATGTAAATATTTCACAGAAAATCCGGGAAATGTTATTGTATCACATAAAATTTGTAAATCATCAAATATTTTTCGTATGTACAATTTGATTGACACAAAGTTAAATTTCCATGAATAAGGACTTTAATTATAAATTAGCATTAATCATAAGGATTAAACATGTTAAACTTTTAGTTTTTCATGTGACGTTTCGATTATAGTTAACGGTATTTTTGACCATTATGATAATTGGCTTATGATATAAAACAAAATACAGATATGAATAATTGATAGTTGGCATATATGAGGTCTAACAAAGTATTGACATAGATGATTGACGTGTGATATGTAAAAATGATGGCCATGTTGATGACAATGTTGTTTTGATGAGGACGTCCATGGGTGTTACAATGATGATGAAATGACGTTGTTCAAGGTAGTGAGCATCAGGTAAATCTAGTTATTTATAGAAACAAGCTTTTTTTAGAGACTAGTTATTTTTAGACAAATGAGTTTTAACTTTTCTTCGTAAGTTTTATCAGTTTCAGAAGATGAAAGTTCAAAAGCAACCAATGAACGTGCAAGTAATCATACTATATCGGGCCATGCTTATGGAACAAGGACAGCACACATTACGCAACGTTAAAAACAGCATACTTGTTTTATTCAAATAACATTTGGAAAATTTGACATTATCACTGATTATAAGAAATTTGATATACATATAAATATACATGTAAATGGTATTATGTCAGTAACTGAAATTGCTTAGAATTACAAAAATTTATTTTAGAAATGAAGATTTTTTTGGTCAAAATTGAAAACTATGTTTTATGTTTATCTATACTGACGATATTTTGTGTGCATTGTTTATATCGATTTTGGTTGTTTTGGTTTCTTTCTCAATTTTTGGA